GTCGATCCCTTCTCTTACGAAAGTCGAAAGAGGAAACCATGTTACCATTTTGCTAGATCCGCCAATGTGTCCCAATAAACGCAAAAATAAGCAAACGTTTGGAGAGAAAATTGAAGAATATAGAAATGTATATCCTTGAATAGGAGATGAATGTTATTCGTACTCATATAAGAAATTCCAACAAACTATCCTCAATTTTTACTACTACGTGGAAAACTTTAACCAAATCTCTAACGTCCGAAATAAAACTAATTTAAACACTACATTCTGCACCAAATTTCCTCTATAGAATTTGTCAGGAAAACTCTAATCACAAAACGGAAAGTCTGAAAAAAAAACTCCCAAATAAGATGTAAGTACGAGTAGTATTGGAAGTGTTTACGATGAACATCGGTCAAAAGCGAAATTAGAAATGACGCCTTTTGTACTCTGACTCCTATTTTTGATCTGTGTTAATACTTGTTAATACCTTGTTCAGGAATTAATATCTGAACTTTCCTTTGTTTAACCGTTTTTTACTCAGATTTTAAAGATATGACATGGGCTCTTTTTAAGTTCAGACATACCTACTATCTAGTGGCACACAACACAAAGTGTTAAAATATTGTGGATGAACGAAGTAAGCGAGGGATGTTCATAAAAGCCAGAGACTTGGAAAAGTGAGAAGAGTTTAGGGAGTCCAAGTTGCAACAGAATAATGAGACTGTTAATTGTATCACGGGTCATTTATGTTCTTTGAGTAGGTATGAAATATCTTACCCCATGGTCTGGCGGCTCGCCTACTACGTGAGTTCCACAAGTCTCCCTAAGTTTAAACCATTTCACTTCCTTGTTTTCTTGATTCCCCCTCGAGTCTGCTTTATTACAACCTCCGCATCTTCGTCCCCTAACGACTCGGCTGAATTAATTAAATTATCACCGGCCACAACAAAGTAGCTTTGACAAACAATTTGAACAAAAAAAAGACAAAAGCAGAGGACTCTTTTTGTTCTTGATTTTGTTCAGCCCTTCATTTTTTTACGATCAGATACGATTAGATGAGTCGGTTGTTTTCTTATCTTTTTTTAATATTATAAAATGTTTTAGAATGGAGGTTCTCTAGATGTCTCACGGGCATTCTATATTGATTTGTCTTTAAGAAAAATTCAAAAAGTTTTGACGGTAGATTTATATGTTGTTAAGTGCCTCCAGTATGGGGAGGACATACTCTTAGCATGAGGATATTTATTGAAAAAAAAAAAAAAAAAAAAAAAAAAAAAAAAAAAAAGTTATGTCAGACGATTGCAAAAACGCTTCCAGGACTTTATGTCCACCTACCTTTCGTCCATTAAATAAATGTCCACCGCTATTTATGTCCACAGTCGACTAAACGTTAAGTCCAGTCTTTACTAAGTCCACGTGATTTAATGTCCAACCATGAATATGTCCAAAATTGTCCAAATTGTGGACATGTTATGTCCACATTTTTTTTTTTTTCTCATTTAAATGACAGGAACCACCTCAAAAATAAATGCATACTACTACTACCTTCATTCTTAAAAACATTTCATTCATGAATCAAGTCATGAAAGAGTTAGCAGTTAGTTAGTATATTTTGAGACATTCAGCGTCATAGGCTATTAACGTCTTTACTCTTTACATAGAATTTTGAAAATGGGAGTATATACGAAAATTTAGATTTTTAATTTCAGAGAGATGAAGAGTTTCCTCTTTGACTAGTTATTTCGATTGATCGAATGGATGCCTGTCATTCTTAATGTGTTGGAGCGCCTTCAATTTCTTACGATACTGTGCAATACCTCTGGTGTGAAATAGTTGCTTCAGAGTCAGACGCCGTGGCACGCTGCGGAGCGGCGGGCGGGCAGAGAGCGCGAAACGCGCGTTGGCGCCTACAAACCTGACAGGGATACTTCACGCATTGCGCAATGCGTGAAGTAAGTATTGCGCAATGCGTGAAGTATCCCGTTAGGTTTGTAGGCGCCAGTGCGCGTTCTGCGCTACTAACACGCCGCGCCGCTCCGCTCTGTGTTAGGCTCTAATATTTAAACTCGCGGAGTCAGCGTTTTCAACTCATGATTTTGAAATGTTTGCACTCTCTGCATTGATTATTCCCTTTTAAACTGACGAAAAAGAGTTCGTAAGTCCGAAAACTTCGGTTATCAATACTAAGAATATTGACGTTTCTTATTGATGAACCGGAGTTCGATCTTCAATTGTTACAGAAGTTTTTACTTAGTGCATGCGTGCTCTTTAATATTTCTTCGGAGATCTTTTCCCTTCATGCGCTCCTCTTTTTGTTGAAATTACTTTCAACTTTTTTCATTTTCATATTTTATGCGGTTTTAGATACCTGAATTGTGATCACATCCCTTTTTTTTCGTTCCCCTCGCATGGTCCGTGCCTTTTTTACCAACTTCTTCTGCCGTTAATTTCTTAATAAGGAGATAAATTTTGTGAACTGATAGATTTTGAATTCTTTGTTGATCGACAACAAAAATTCAGCCACGGATCTGTTGAAATTGTTACCCCCTGTACTGCTTTGTTAAGGAAGAACGCCGTATGAATATTCGAGAGTTGCCAAATTTACCTTGATAAAAAATGTATTTTAAACGATATTCATGCACATTTTTTTTTAAATTTTCAGATGTATTAGATTAAATTGTGTACGAAATCGTCTAAAAGCTTTGGAAAAAAATATTCGCAATTTTCCCTGCCAATTCGGTTTTTATCAAAGGAAAGGACCCTACAACAAAACGGCCAAATCGGCCTAAACACGGAATCGTACGATTTTCTCAGGGATGATAGAGGGTCTTCCCAGACACTCAAAACTGGTCATATTTTTTGCCTAACCCCCAGGGAAAAGGGGGGAGAGGGGGTCAAAGTCAAAACCTTTAAAGTAGCATAACTTCTCAACGGTTTGTCGTAGAAAGATGATCTTGGTGTCAAAATTTCCAGAAAAATGAGAGCTTTTAAAATATATGTATGAAATTAATGAAATTTTAAAATTTGACCCACTTTTGGGGGCATTTTACAAGGTCCCCCTTTCGTAAATTTTCGTTTTTTGAGATTTTCGGTTATTCGGTTCGCACGGATTAAAACAAAAACAATTTCAAATGAAAGTAGAGCGTTTAAGCTTTAAAACAAGCCCAAGATGATCTTGGGGAAACAATTAGAAGCGGAGTTATGAGTCTTCAAAGTTGACGCGGCGCGCGGGAACCTTGTATGTTCCGAGTCTCAAGGTCACCTGCGCGCCCCGGATTGCCTGCAGGTTGCAAGTTTTTGTGTTTTTATGCTTCTGTAGGTCATTTTTAATGTAAATCATTCAATGAAGATAGTTTAATCAGAATTTTTCAATTTTACACAATGGGCCTTCGGCGAGGTACACCACATTAACGTCAAAAAAGTTTAACTGCGTTTCAAATAGCCCCCTCAAAAATAACTGAGACTTGTTTTGAAGCTCAAAGCTCGTCTGCTTCTACGAGAAACTATTTGGCTTTACCAAGTGAGTTCCGTCAAGCGCTGTAGCTTATAGCTCAATTAAAAAAATTTAAAATTAGGGGTACCCCAAAATTTGGCATCAATGGGTTATAATTTTTAAATGGTTCAGTTCTGTATGGAGCATATGTATATTTGAACTGAGGGTCCATGGTTTCTTCTAAATTCTAAGAGCAGAATCGTCATCGTCAGCAAATGTTTAATGAGGTATGATGGACATAATGGTTGATACTCTAAGCCCCCTCTCGCTCCTCCCGTAAAATTAAAAAATTTCGATTGTTCTATCTTCATTGAATGATTTACATTAAAAATGACCTACAGAAGCATAAAAACACAAAAACTTGCAACCTGCAGGCAATCCGGGGCGCGCAGGTGACCTTGAGACTCGGAACATACAAGGTTCCCGCGCGCCGCGTCAACTTTGAAGACTCATAACTCCGTTTCTAATTGTTTCCCCAAGATCATCTTGGGCTTGTTTTAAAGCTTAAACGCTCTACTTTCATTTGAAATTGTTTTTGTTTTAATCCGTGCGAACCGAATAACCGAAAATCTCAAAAAACGAAAATTTACGAAAGGGGGACCTTGTAAAATGCCCCCAAAAGTGGGTCAAATTTTAAAATTTCATTAATTTCATACATATATTTTGAAAGCTCTCATTTTTCTGGAAATTTTGACACCAAGATCATCTTTCTACGACAAACCGTTGAGAAGTTATGCTATTTTAAAGGTTTTGACTTTGACCCCCTCTCCCCCCTTTTCCCTGGGGGTTAGGCAAAAAATATGACCAGTTTTGAGTGTCTGGGAAGACCCTCTATCATCCCTGAGAAAATCGTACGATTCCGTGTTTAGGCCGATTTGGCCGTTTTGTTGTAGGGTCCTTTGGCAACGTCTGAAGACTCATACGGCGTTCTTCCTTAGCACGGCAGTGTAAATATACAGTTTTACCCGTCGTCGCATGCCATGATTAGTGTAATAAAATGATAGAACTGATACAGTTCAATACTTATTTCTCAAATATTTTGTAAGAAGAAAAACTTTAGAAATTAAACATCTCTAGCTTGGATAAAGCCATTAATGACCAAACTATTGCTATTTAAACAAACTGCATTATGTTTTACTGGAAATGCGAAGTTCTTGTTCCTCCTTTGTTTCTGCCTTATTTGCATTTCAGAAATGAAACAATACCGAACTAATGTTCTTCTAGTAAAATATTTTCCCTTAAAATTATTCATAATTTTCATGGCTTCCACGAGTATAAATAAGCATGGATGGCCTTCAATATCATGATCAGGCTATCGCGTTGGTTGGAAAAGTAGTTTATGATTCCATTCGTGTATATCTGCTGTTCCAATGAAATTTCTCGAAAATGTCACTGAAATCAGTAAAAATGTATTCCAAGCAATTTAAAGTACCGTTAAATATAGCTGAGGACATGTCAAGAAAAGAAGAATTCATAAATAATAATTTATTTATTTAAAAAAGGAAAAAATAAAAAGAAAGACGACTAGACGGAGATTTACTCTGTTTCCATACTTGTACGGTTAACAACAAACATTGAATCAACTTATTTGAAATTAATACTATAGCTATATACAATAAGTAAGGTTTGATTTGACTCGACCGGTTTGTACAAGTTTTTGTACAGTTTGTACAAGGAACGTATGTTCACTATATTAACAGGTCAGCGGAGGAAATTTCCAAGACTTTCTAGTTCATTTGCCCCTCAGTTTCCGAGTTTTCAGTTTAGAATAATTTCTCAATTGCGATCGATAAAAATTGCAATTTTGAAAAATGTATACACAATATTAGTGAACAACTCACACCTAGCGGGAAAATGAAGTAATGATGAGAAACTACAGAACAAATGAATTTTACCAGTATTTAAAAAGAAATGATCCACATTCTGATGATTGTGAGGGGCAAATGATATGAAGGAATTGAGAGAAATATAGGAAACAACAGATCAAAATGTAATAACAAATACAACTAAATATTACTGTTGGTTCGGTCACACAAAAACCGTCGAACAATTAAGTTTTAATGCCGTAAAAAAAAAATGAAACCCTTTGTCCAAGTGACAGACAAAAGATAGGTTTAGATATGGAGAGGTTTAAAATGGCAAGTAAGAAAGGAATACCGCCGACCTTAACATATTCCAATAAACTTGATTTTAACTTGTGAGACATAATTTCAAGTAAAATCAAGCATAACTGAGCTTTATTGATTCATCAAAATGTTGAATTTAAAAAAAAAAAAGAATCAATGTTACCAAAGAATACCAACCCGACGATTTCCTAATAGTGACTACTTATCATAGATATCATTACATATGCCTGAGTCTTTCGCAACATTATCTATAATGTTACGAAAGAATGTGGAAGAGTGTTTGGTTCAAAAGAGTACAATTTAACCGCTCTTGACAATTAGTTTAAAACACTTTTACATGAGTAAATTTTCTGTAAGAATAGCATCAATTTCTAAGTTTTAACAACTGTATAAGTGCTAGATAAGTTCCGTTTGGTGTAAAATGAAAGTTCAATCAAGGTCGACGGTTTTCTTAAGATAAGATTATCACCGGAAAAACTTTAAATGAGCAGTCTTCATTTAATGTGACTAAATCTGTGCACAAAAAAACTAACGAAAACCTATTGACTAGATGTATGACAAGATGTAGGAAAGAGATGACTAGAATTTAATGAAAACGTAAGAAATTACCGACAAAAGTGGCGTTAAAATCTACTTAATTAACGAATAAAGACTTTAGAACGGTATGAGAAACATGGGCTTCAAATCACGGGCCATTCCGAGTTCTCAATTCGGTCGTCTGCCAACAATATAATTTTTTGCCGTGTTTGGATCTTCTTTTTTTTACAGATTTTGCGTATGAGATAGTTTCATATGGTCGTTGTTATGCATTTGTTAAAATAATGTGCAGATTCAAAGCTATTTCGTTACGAATCGAAAGAGCTATCGTTTTATCGAGATCGTCCAAACAACATTGAGAAAGCAAGTTTGATAATAGATACTGAACTTTGGCTCCTATTGAACACCGAACTTCATTGGTTAGAATAATACAATAAAATAGTAAACGTAGCCTTGATACCTTTTATTTACATTGAATTACATTCTTGTGATAAGCTTTCATTGGTTCATTGTTTAGATATAGCCGAGATTTTTGATCATAAGAACGTAAGTGCGGTTTTTGTGACCAAAATTTTTGGTCACCAAACCGAAAATTTTTTTCGTTCGATATCGTCACTCGCCATGCGACATTTCAAAATTTCTGCCACCATTTTATTTTATTACAGAGAAATTGTTGGTTGAATCCGTTTGACATTTTTGGACAGTTTCGTCGAACAATCTCTCTGCAAGAAAATAAAATGGCGGCGGAAATCTTGAAATGGCTCATGGCGCTTGTGATACTTTGGCCAGAAGGTGACGATATGATCTGAAGCTCAGTATCTGTTATGGGACTTTTTTTTCACAGAGAAGTGATGAGATAATCCCATTGTTTTCCGAAGAAAACTTAGTTCCTTCCCGCTAAACTCTATCCGTATTATTAAACCCTCCCGAGACGGAGAAGTACCTGATTTGACCTGTGACGTGACGCGTGCGTGATTGGATTCGGGGCGGGCAGGAAGCAATCACGGGCGGCCCGGATCTGGACGCGTGGCTGCAATTACACCGGTGACTTAGGCGCGGCGGCGCGCCGGCGTGGGCGGGGGCGGCCCCCCTGGCTGCCGGGCGGCGGGCGTCGGTGATGGTTAGTTGCGCCTGTCCCAGCTAGGTCATGCGTAGTGGGGGTACGAACTCAGGTGCGAAGTCACGTGACCCGGGTGATGTGCCATCGTGTGCCCCGAGTATAGGTTCGCCCCCGGGCTTGTCCAGTAAGACGTCGGCGATGAGAATATTCCCGCTGAAATCAGAAAAACCACTCGTTTTAGCACATATCTAACCTGAAAATAACGTGAGAAAACGATTTATGAAAAAATCTGCGAGGAGAAAATGGACGGAGTTAAACAGAGAGGAACCAAGTCACATCGGGATCGAACCGAGAAAAAGAGGTTTAAAGTTTAGCTCCTGCATAAGACTCAATGTAAAAGTTAAAATTCAAGTTCAATTTCTGCAAAATTTGCTCCAACAAAAACTTTGAATTTTTGGCGATAGATAGTAGAGCAGTGGTTGAGTTCAAAACCACTCATAACTCAATTTTTTCCAAAATGTGGGTTGGTTCCTCTCTGCTTAACTCAGTCCAAATAATTCTAGAGCATCTATGGGAGCAGATAATATTTCCCTGGTTGAATTGCTTTTTAGGACGAATGGAATTCCTAAATTGGACGTATTTATGATAAAAGGAACTGTAAGCAAGTGGAAAGATGGGGGGTGCTCCTGCAAGCTGCATAAGAAACAATGTAAAAGTGAATATAGTTCCTTTTGAGAAAATGGAAGAGCGGGATTTTCAATTGAATCAAAAGGAACTGTGCGCTAACTCGTGAGCTGTGGGCATGTGACAAGAGCATTGTGGACAGGGCTCATGAGTTAAAGCCGAGCAAGAACGACAATGGAGACGGCTTCGTTGCCGCTGACGTCACTGGCGCTTTTAAAGTTCCATTCATTCCCTGGTGAAAATTGGCGATAGGAGCTGCGTTTCAAAGTACCATAGGAGTTCTTATAGCCGACTAAAGAAGGCTATTGAAAATCATATAGCTGGCTGTAGAAAGCGGAGCAAATCATATAGCCGGGCTATACGAAGTTATAAAAAAGTATACAGTCGGGCTATAGTTCCTGTCGCCGGGCTTTACACTTTATCGCCATTAGCTATAAACGGCTATAAGAAATTGTGTAGAAATTCGTGTGCTTTGGAAATCATTAAGTTTGATACGGAACTACCTAATATTTACAAAACAGAAAACACACATTATATTTTCCTTTGAATCATATTTTTTTTTTTTCATCTATTAAAACGAGAATAGTCCATACAGAGTGTGCAAACATTTCAAAATCATGAGTTGAAAAACGCTGACTCCGCGACATTAAATATTAGAGCCTAACACAAAGTGGAGCGGTAACGCACTGGCGCCTACAAACCTAACAGGGATACTTCACGCATTGCGCAATGCGTGAAGTATCCCTGTTAGGTTTGTAGGCGCCAATGCGTGTTTCGCGCTGGCTGCCCGCCTGCCACGGCGCTTGAAGCAACTATTTCACACCAGAGGTATTGAACAGTACTGTAAGACATTGAAGGCGCTCCAACATATTAAGAATGACAGGCATCCTTCGAAAGTACGGAGCTTTCCTCGCAAAATGAATCAAGATACTACGGTACAAAAAGAGAGCGGTAGTCCAAAAACTAACTGAGTCCTAGTATCCGTATTTTTTTATCACGTTTAGCATAAACTTTATCGTCTGGCTGTTGCTTAATCGCCATCAGCTGTAAAAGGCTATAAGAAATTGTACAGCCGGCTACAGAAGCTATTGGAAATCTTACAGCCGACTTTAGGTCTATGGTATTTTGGAAAACAGATTCTACTGCCAATTTTTACCAGGCTTCTTATGGCCCAAGCAGTAACGAGCACACCCCATCTTTCCACTTGCACACAGTTCCATTTAGCATAAATACGTCCCAATGTCCCACCGGGGCTGTGGTTGCTGTAACAAGAATTCCATTGGAGCGACTGGAATTCTCGTTGTATTAAAGGAGGCAAGATGAGGAAAAAAAATAACATTATTTCGATAGGTACTCTTGGAAAATGCCCTAGCGACCGTTTTGTGTGGAAAGGGGGAGCCACCAAGAGAACGGTAAAACGGGGGATCCTTCCTCGAAACGGGAAAAAACGGGGGACCCCGTCTGATCTTCGGGGGGAGGGGGGGCAGTCATGAATTTTGGCGAAATCGGGGGAAGGTTCATTGAACCTGAGGGAAAGCTTGCACCCCTGTCAAAAGACAGTCCAATTGGCAACCCTCGGGCGGAGAAAAGACGGGGCAGGGTGAGGTGGAGGAGAAGTTGTCAGACCGTGAAAAGGAGCGCGAAGTTGATCGGCGTCCCTGGTCCCTGTCCCCCTTAGACACCCCCCTTCTCCCGGTGGCCGTCGTCGATAGTGTTGTCACGAGGCCGACCTCCCCCCCCCCCCCGGCCGACAGGGGTTCATGGATTCATGGCTTCACGGGCTCGTGAGCGCACGGATTTCCTCGCTCTTTGCATCATTGGCTCCCGCTCCTATTATCCTGAGCTTTCGGCTCACTGTGGCCGTACTTGAAGAATCAACGGCCAACACTAGTTTTGCTGGATTTTTAGATAGCCCCTCCCCCTTTGTGAAGCTTTTCTACACTGAAAAAAAAAGTATCAGGGACCGTCCACAAATTACGTAAAGCACACTTGGAGAGAAGGCGTTCAAAAGGTGCCTTACGGGGGGGGGGGTGTCAAGAGGTGCCCTTGCTGGTGCCTTAAGGGGAAGGGGGGTCAAGCGCTCTCTTACGTGAGCCAAACGCTCATTATTGAAAAGGAGGGCAAAAAACTTTTGAAGAGTTGGCCTAGCCCGAATTTCGTTAATTTACAGACTGACTAGTCCAAATGACGTTATTTTAGACTTTCAATGTTTTTGTTGAAATGTAATTTTTTCTGAACTTTTTGAATATAAAAACTGGTTATTTTTTCAATACAACTGTTATTTGGACTACATTTTGCAATTTTGAACTATGAATTCTAGCCCGGTTTAAAAACAACGTACGTGCCATTAGTTTCTCTATGCTCATTAGGGTTTTACCAGAAAAGTCAGAATTTATAGTTCCAAATTGCAAAATACAGTCCATTTTTTATTATTTTTTATCTCCTACCAGCGATTAGTAATGTTCAAAACAATACCGATTTGTTTCAACACCATGTTTTCATTAAATTAAACGATAGAAGGGGGGGGGGGGGAGCTTTACGCAATTACTTGGGGGGGGGGGGAGAGTCTGGACAGCCTTTGCTCTTGCACAGTAGGTAAAGTAGCAGTGCGGAGTCTGTAAAGTATATTGTCTCTGAACCAAACCAAACGGACGTTATCGTTGAGCTCAACGATGCGTCCATTTCCTTTGCCGCTGCGGCCATCGATTCATCCACCGAGCGACGCGGCTCCGACACGGGAAAAACAAACAATGAAAACCCGAGTGGGAAACATAAATTCGGTCACCGAAAAATTCTCTCGAACATGTGTGATTTTCCTGTGCGTTTTCAGTCCGCTGCTCTTTCCTTGAGGTCGCCTGCTCTGGCTTCTCGTGTCCGAGCTCTTTTGGCCGGTTGCCAGATTTCCCGTCAAACTTTACAAGTTCTTACGTTGTCCCTCGATTTGCTTGACATTTTCTCGAGCTATAAAAATTAAATGCACCGGTGTGTTCTGTTAGATCTTTCATTATCAAAGAGGAATAGTGTGTTTTCAGCAACAAATCGTGGTGGTTGGGATCTCATAGTATATTGAGAAAAAAACTGCGTGTTTGGGACCCGAAGTTGAGGTCATATGGATCTTTGAAGTTTTCTGATCACGAATCCGCAAACTTGAGGTCGAGCTACCGAAGTTCGGGTCAGACATCGAGGAACTTCGGTATGTACCGGAGTACTTCAGATGTGTGACCCGAATCCATCAGTGTATATCGAAGTACTTCAGATGTCTGACCCGAACTTCGGCAGCTCGACCTCAAGTTGTTAGATACGTGATCCGAAAACTTCAGGGATCCATATGACCTCAACTTCGGGTCCCACGCACGAAGTTTTTCTCTCCGTGTAGGACTCAAAGTTTCCAGGGTAATTGAAGTGCCGGAAATGGGAACAAACATTTTTGGAAACTTCCCAGTGGTTCATTTAAAAGTACCATTTATTTTTTATTTATGTTCATTCATTTATTTATTTTTTAAAGAAATTTTAATTTCCTCCTGTACCCGCTCTGCTAATTATTTGACATTTATTCCTATGAAACCCACAACTTCCACAGCTATATATGCTGTTTTAGTACCCCAAAACAGCAGGGACAGTGGGGCACGCACATCTATGCTCTAGGCCTTCACATTTTTAGAAACTAAGGCCGAATGGAATTTGTTTCAACAGAATCACTCGTCAGTTTTGTGAAAATTCGTCGCCACAACCGGGTTTCGAAACCGAGACCTCCAGACCTAGAGCAAGACGCGCTGACTAATAGGCCAACCTATCAAGCAGAGATTACCGTATATGTGTGCATGTGAGTCTTCCTCTGTCAACGTTTGCCGGAAAAGTAGATTTTGCCTCTTGCCATCGCGCCTTCAATTTTGCAGACGCAACACGGACATCCATCGAGTACGAATAGTTGTATCTCTGCGCCGTCGTCAACGCGCATCCTTTATCTCGCTCTGTCCCCATGATGTGTTGGTTCTGTTGGGTGTATTTTAATTCGAAAGCTACGTGAGCGACGCTGCCGAATAAAGACGTGATCGGGCCTCGTTTTTTTAACTTTCCTAGCGAATCTGAGCGACACCTCACTAGCAGCATAGAGCGAAGCATGCGAAATTGGTGCTTAAACTGCACGTATTTCCATCGTCAAATGTTTTGATCGTATTGAAGCGTGTTTATGATCTTGGATCGAAACTTGGTACCGGGGTGTATATTTTTATGGGAAACTCGAATTATCACTCAAATTTCCGAAATTTGAATAATGTAGCAGACGAGCCTAAAATGCCATCTTGGCGACTTCGAAATCATTCAACCTTCCAATAGAGATGTGTATTCTTTTTCTGTTCAATGTTGTTCCGTTCACAATTCTTATTGTTCTGATCTGTTCTTTTCCAAAATCAATTCACCCTCAGCTAATTTAGACCTCCATTTCGATACCGGCGCGCTCTTCAACTATTTTGTGCTGAAACTGCTTGTTCTGATTTCGATTATTTGCATAATTCTTTCCAGTCAAAATTCCAAATTGATAAAAAATATTTTGATCGTAAAGACAGCCGCTTAATTTTGTCTACAACACCGAGTCTCACGGAGAAATGAAACTTCAAATCTCTTTCTCTCGGTTCAAACTTGATGCGACTAGGTGCGTTTTTATCGAACAGTGGCGTGGCGTGCTTTGCTATATATCGATTGATCTACCATTTAAACCTGTGGAAAAGGGTCGATAACAAGGTGTTCAGAATGAACGCCTCAAGAAGCGATTCTTTACCACAGCTTCAAATGGGGAAATCTCGATAATCACCATTCACGCCGGGCCACTGCTGCTAAACTCAGTCCACTTGATGAGAATTTTCAATTTTTCATTCGTTTCTCTCCGCATGAGACTACCCTGATGGCGACAAAGAGAATAGGCAAAAGTGATGATTTTTTCCAGCGAGTCGGCATTTGCGCTTGAATTTTCCCGGCCTTCGGCGTCTCTCGTTTCCAATCTTGCGGAAATTGAGTTGGCGTGTACCACCTACTCCTCCCTCCTTCCCCTCCCTCGCGACTCCTGCGCCGATAAATATTGTTTCAAAATCAACAAGCGTCTGCACCCAGCTCCTTTTCATCCCTCCGAGTCGCCTACCCCTCTTTCCGTCTGCGCTTCTGCGTTCCTCCCTTATGAGGAGACGTCAGTGAGACTACATGATGCACTTACGGCGCAGGGGGTAAGAGGGGTGTGGAGATTGCGTTCCGAATGGGTTAAAATGGGTAAAGGAAGAACCTCGAGACACATGATAATCTCTAGCGCACAACCGCGGAGAATATTAAAATGTGCCGTGCTGTAAAACCCATTTTAACCACTCTGAAACAGTTCCGAAACGAATCGCATAACCGTACAGAGATAATATATTTCACGCGTAGATTAGCCTGATGAGAGATGACCAAAAAGTTGGGTAATTAGTTTATTTGTCTCAATCTAATTTGCAAAAAATCGCTCAGCAAAGTGGGCAACTCGGCATTTGTTGGTCATCAAAGGGCATATTTTTTTGCTCAAATAGTTGCTGATTCATCGACTGATCATCATTTTAGGCAGTGTTGACCTTTAAATTTAATTTTTGCTTCATCCGATTAAACTGCTCAAATTGGTAGTGCGCAATCTCTGAAACTACATTGTCTCTGTAGGCAGAAACCGGAAATCAATTCGGTTCAGCAGACCAAATATAGTTTGGCTGACGAACTTAAGGATTAATTTACGTTCACCAAACAAAAGTAAGTTTCATATTACCAGAACTGACCGCTATTTTTATTTTATATTTTCAGTGCCAAATTTTTTATTTCAGTGCCCCTCCTGGTTTTTGTTTATATGTATGAACTTTATCACAATTGCTGATAGAATCCCTGATACCTGATAGATATACCTGATAGAATCCCCGGGTTTAGTAAAATATTTTGAAACCAATGAATCTAAACCCTAGTTTTTAACACTTACTCGAAGTCCATATATTTTAAACTGGTGGTCTCATTGTATAACAAGAGGCTACAACTGAATGTAAAAAAGAGGTTACACATCCAAGTTTAATGGAAGAGGCCAAATCTATAAATCTTAATTTCTGTATTCTAGATGAAGTTTTTTCTCAGCTCAATGTATTCTTTTCTCAACAGCCTTTCAAGCGTGTTAAGGAGAATCAAATCAAATAAAGGACAGAAAAAAAGTAAAAAAAAATACATTCAAAAGATCTCATCATCATCATGATAATAATCACTTGATAATTTCCTGGAACGAATTATAATTCAGACAGATCGTTGGGCAAAGAGATTATACGAGCATATATGTTCGTCGCAATAACGCTATAACGTCGCGATTTTATGACTCGTAATATTTAAGGCAGCGGTTTTCTTTTGAATGAAAAGCTTATACTCCCCTACGAGACGCGGACCTGATGGGTGAAGTCAGCGACTCGATTTTATCCCTCGGCGTTTGCTTGTATATTAATTTCGAATTGGGATGAGCATTTTATTCGTGAGCAATTGCTGACTTCTGAGGGTCGCATTTAGACCGGAAGGGAGAGAGACATATAGGGTGACCCTCAAAGCGCTCGTCGGCGCCAAGAAGGGATGATCAGAGCTCATAGAATGCGAAGTACAACTAGGCCGAGTTTAACAGAAACTATCTTGGGNGGGGGGGGGGGGGTGTGAGGTGAGATTTGCCAGAAAAAGGCCGAGATGAATAAGTTTTTTCATATCCACTCCTTAGTTACGTGAAGAAATTTCGTCACTACCGTGATTTGAACCAGGGATCAAGGAATTTAAGTGTCAAAATCTTGCAAAGGGTTAGTGATTATAACGTCTATTTGCGTGCGTATATGAGGTCTTATCTGTAACAATGGCGGATTTAAAAATTCCTTTTTCGAAACACGCTTAAAAAACTGTTTTGGTCATACAAAAATTTAATATGTTTGCCTCTGGCGTAATGTACAGATCTCGAAGATCATCACAAGTATTTTCTCAAGATTTTCTCGATGCCGAAACATTTTTTTGAGCGTGTTTCAAAAAGGTAATTTTTCACATCCGCCATTGTTACATATAAGTCCTCATATGTCCCCCTGTCAAAGTTTCTCGGGTTCCGGAATCTTAACGAGAATTCTGGGCTAAAATTCGGGGGATATTTCCGATTAATAATCGCCTGTAATCCCGAATCCGTGAGCTGACCGAAGACTCAAGCAAAATCTTTGCGAAACAGCCTGTGAGGAGGGAGAGATAATCGTCAAGATGAGGCGAGGAAAATAGTGAAAAGCAACATTGCCGCTTCTGATTACAATCATCCCGTTAATATCCACGAAGGCGAATAAGAATTCCGATACGTCAAGCCCGACATTGCAACTCGGTCTCTCCTCGAAGGGGTCCAAATTCGGCATCGGGAACTGCATTGAAGCGTCGGAACGTCGAGGACGAAATGCTGAGCGAGAACAACGTAACTGCAATGGAAAATCTAATGGAGATACGCGGTTTTCGCCGAGGACGTAAGAGCAGGGTGCGGCCGGAGCGACATTAATTTCTCGTAGTCCATTATGGCGCATTAGTGCGCAAAATTCAAGGATCGGAGGCGGTCTCGGCTCCCGCGCCCGCGGCCAATAAACAAAACAAGAGATTTATTGGTCCCTTTATTAGCCACCCTATTACTGTCTCCTTGCTTTATTGCATTCACTCAACTTGCGCATTTTTACAGCTCCGCTTGCCGCAGACGCGGACCTCGCCGAGATTTATCGGTTCTGTCGACGTCCGCGCGGGCGGAGGCTACCGCATTTTCACCATCCACCGAAAACTGAAAGGCCCGCATTTCTGGAATCGCCTTGAGGGCACACTGAAAAAAAATATCTCGGTGTATTTACCAAGAAAAGGGTAAAATTACCAAGAATTCAGGGTTCTATTTGATCCCAGTTTTTCCTTGGTAAAATTATCATTTATGGAATTGGTAATTTTACTGGACCTTGGTAAAAACGCCAATATTTTTTATCGACTGTGGTAGAATTACCGAGATAAAATGGCAAAGGTACCGTGAATTGATTACCAATAAAAGTGGTATTCTTACCTGAAAAAACAGTAAAAATACCGGTTTTTAGGTAAGCGTTCCAGTCTGTCTTGGTAAAATTACCAATAATTGGTAAAAAAGTGAGATGGTAAAGGTACCAACGGACTTTGGTAAAAACACCGAGAATTTTTTTTTCAGTGCAGATGTACAAAATGAAATTTCATTTTCCAGTGAAATAAAATTCTATCTTCCGTGAATTTTTTTTCAGGGGCTACGCGCGCAACTCGCAACAAGGGACAGTTGCGCTGGTCTCAGACTCGTGTTTTGAAGCTTAATTCTTGTACTTTGGCTGAAAATAATCAGATCTGTTCAAACCGCAACTTTCTGCGTTCAATATTAACTGAGATGTCGCCCATTGATAAGTCGGGTTTTCGACGTCGTCCATCGCGGTTCCTTCCTCCTTGTTTTCATTCAAGTCCCAAGTTTAGTAACCAGTGCGTCACTGACTGATGGAAGCAAAGTGGAAGAAACCACGGGTGTCACTACCGCGGTGGATGACGTCAAAAGCCCGACTTTTCAAAGGGCGATATCTCGGTTAATATTGAACGTGGAAAGTTGCGGTTTGGACGGATCTCATTACTTTTAGCTAATCTACAAGAATTAAGCATCAAAATACGATTCTGAGACCAGCGCAACTGACCCATTATCCAAAAATTTGCCAGGAAACTTCGAAGCTTAACTTCAAAACGCACGGTTGAAAGCAGTTAAATATGCAGCGATTGAAATGTTGGGGAAATGTGGCACGATAAAATCTTACCTGATGAGGAAGGTATGGCGGGGCTCATGAAGTTGAGTTTGGTTGAGTGATGGTAGAAGAAATCCGATTGGTATTTGTAGGCGGTTGGGTCCGTCGTGGCTGGTTGTGTAGCCGCCGCAAGGCCCTGGAAGTCGAATTTGTACGCGTACCTCTTACCATGAACTTTGGTCATTATATTCTTATCGTAGTAATACCTGCAACAGAATACAGTTTATATAGATTACGAGTTCTCAGCCTGGAATAACCGAATCTCTCGGTTCGAAAACGACCCAACTCGGGTTTTTTACGATGTTCATTTTTTGTGCGTAGAAGCACGCCTTTTCTGGCTGTCCCACAGTTTTTATTGTCTCGTAGAATTTTTCATTTTCCACAGGTGAGTCGATTTCGACCTGGAAGATTCAAATACTGAAATTGGATACGTACCCGCGACGGTGAAACTACCAGACCACACATGCATCTCGCTTTGCGACGTTGTATGTAGACTTCCTGTCATTTATTTTTTAAATGGAAAACTACTCAAAATCAATAAATTCTTGAAAATTTCCCTGTTTTTTTCCTATCTTTGAAAATTTTAAGAGAAGGCATTACTTTGCTCTCCTTTAAAAAAATAAAATGGGAGCGCTGATTTTTTAACACCGCAAACGAAATACGTGGTATGGTACTTTCACTATCGATATGTTTGATGAACGATAAACATGATTTACCCTTAAATATTCTCCAGAACTAATCTATTTTCGCAAAATTTAATGATGACTTTTACACGGCAATCCCATTTCCAATCTAATTTTACAGGAAGACAGGTGTCTCGATTCAAACCTATGTTTAATCTATATAAATCAATTAAATAGCGATCAAAACCTTCGTTTTGATTTTAAAAAATATATCCGTCCACCTCTGGATCCGTCACGCTCAGCGCTAGAGTGTTAAATCCGTTTTGTTTCAATATTCCATTTGCATACGGTATCAGTGCGGCATGATTCCCCTCCCCCCTCCCTCCTTCCCCCTTCCAAATACACTCGCCGCGATCCCATGATCAACTATCGAAAATCTCCCACCCAACCCATCACACCGAAAATACAGAGGCGTGGCGTGATTTGCGATATATCGATTGTTATGCCATTTAAACCTATGGTAAAGAATCGATTATTAAGGTGTTCGCTGCGAACACCCTGTTTATCGATCCTTTTCCATAGGTTTAAGTGGCATAACAATCGATAAATCGCAAAGCACTCCACGCCTCCGCGAAAATATCGATATTCGATGACTCGGAGGAGCCCGCATCAGTAGCCACTTACCGAACATTCCTATGCACTACACGCAATATATCGAAATTCGATATTTGGAGTCGACCGATCCGATTGATTGGATTCTGATAACGCCGGGAAATTCCTCCCGTGCTTTCCGCCCGCTAATTCGTTTGACTAGATTGAACGCAGGGCTGCCGGATTCATCAGATTTGCCCGTCGGTATCGGGATGAACGGGGTAATTTTGCGTTAGGCTGTGGGAAACCTGGCAACGTCGAAGCGGGGGTTGTGGCGGGGGAGGGGGAGGGACCGGAAGCCAGGCCGCAGTCGGCTGATGCTAAGAGAGAAGAGATGAGCCGCCGAGCGGCGCGCAGACGGCACGATTGCGAGGCGTAATGCGATTTGAAACCTGAAATGTAATAATTACAGACGTTTCAGTCAAGATTTCAGTGCTTGCGGCTGGGAGGAGCTTTTGGGGAAGCTGCGTCCGACGTGTAGAGATCCTTGTTTGGGTTCGTTGGGTCGAGTGAAATGCGTTTGTTACAGAATCGTATTTTGATGGTCGAATGTTAGACGTCAAATGTATTAATTACAGACGTTTCAGCCGAGATTTCAGTTCTTGCGGCCAGGAGGAGCTTTTGGGGAAGCTGCGTCCGACGTGTAGAGATCCTTGTTTGGGTTCGTTGGGTCGAGTAAAATGCGTTTGTCACAGAATCGTATTTTGATGGTCGGATGTTACACGTTAGCAGGAGGTAGTGAGAATCATCCTCGTTGTGAGGAAGAATATCTCCCGCGCAACTAGGTCCGTTTTCGATGACCGAGATGGCGCGATATTGTGAGTTGCTATTGCTGTTATTAGATGGACCTGAGGAAAGTAGGCGCGCCTTCAATTTTTAGCATATGCAACACGGACATCCTTAAAGCACGTTTAGTTGTATCCAAGCGATGGTGTTGCCGTTGCCAGCAATGGAGTCGATGGCACTAGAGTATCTGTATACGGGAGAGTATTACCATCTCTGTGCCGCCCCCTGATTGGTTCATCAGTTTTATGAAGCTCCAAAGTTGGACCAATATAAACAAACCCGACCTAGAGGAATACGTATTATCGGCTGAGAAATGAATGATAATCACATCTAAAGGTTAATTTTTGGCACAAATATCCATTAAGGGTCGATTCGAACTCAATTCAGAGGTTGATCATAAACAAATTTCAATCACACCCAAAATGACGCCTAGAATTTGAAAAACTTTGTCGCCATTTTGTTTATTTACATTGGGTAAAACTAGGAGCGGAAGAACAGGGGTTTGTTCACACTGGTCCAACTTTGGGGCTCCATGATAGCCGACCAATCAGAGACCGGCACACTTTTTCTGTGGTAAAAGGATTGAGATGACAATACTGGGACTAGACACTAGATTCGATAAATCTTGATGCGGAACCATCAAAAAAATTTTGGTTAAAGATTATCATTTGGACGTATTTCTGTTAAACGGAACTAAGCGCCATAGGGTGAGGAAGGAAGAGGGGGGCTTGGATTGGCGGCGGAATCGGGCGTCGGGCTCATTCCTTCCTATACTCGCAATGCTTTTCCATGGCGCATAGTTCCGTTTGACAGAACGCGCTATCCGGCATGCTAAATTCCTCAAAAGGAACTCAAATTGGCGCTTAGTTCCGTTTGACAGAAATACGTCCATTTGGAAAATAGGATGACGACTTACCTGAGCGCTCTACTTAGTTTATCGTAGTTCATATTAGGTTTCGATTTCCTCTCTCCCCAGCGCCTGGCCACCTCGTCCGGGTCCGTGAGCTTGAACTCGCCGTTGGTCCCCTCCCACGTGATGCAGTTGGCGTTGGTGGAGTCTGATAAAAGCTCTAATAGAAATTGCCACAGTTGAATTTGTCCCGAACCTGAAACAATCATCACACAATCGCCCTTCATTAATGGCGCTATTGGGAATAATGACTGAATAAATCAGGAATATAATGCGCGATTCATCTAAACGGCCAGATTGTTCCCGTTGAAAGCTCGAGTTTTGTCATTACGTTTAACTTCAGCCCGGGATTCATTGCTTCCATATCGACGCACAGTGGATCGGGTCAATCGGGGAGGTCGGACTTGGAATTTTTGACTAAAACTGCAAATTTTCGTGTTTATTTCGTCACATTTGGAATTTCAAGGGGTGTTTCCAGAGGAAAATTTCACGAGGAAACTAATGAAACCACTTTCAGAACCTCAAAATTGTGTATAAACGGAGTTATAAGCTTTTAAAGTTTCCAAATTTTGTCCGACCTCTCCTATTGACTCGATTCTCTGTGCGACGGTGAAACACACGCGTACCTCAATTGCAGGGTTTCAAAATCTCCGCTCTCAATTACAAATCAGCCGTTTTTACAGGACTGCTTTGCGCTCTGCGACACCAAAGCGCCATTGCCCCTTTATCTCCCCAGAGATCAGCAGACAATTGACACCTCCTGATCTCCTTCTCCACTCTTTGTTGCCAATCCTTCACAGGACATCCACGCCGTCTCCTCCCATGAGGAATCCAACCGAAAACCCGCTTGGGCAACCGATCATCTGCCATCCTCCGCACATGCCCATACCAGACCAACTGCTTGAACATGATATCGTGCAGAATGAGCTTATAACTCCGTTTATACACAATTTTGAGGTTCTAAAAGTGGTTTCATTGGTTTTCTCGTGAAATTTTCTTCTGGGAACTCCCCTTGAAATTCAAAATGTGACGAAATAAAGTAAACATCAACATTTGCAGTTTGGGCACGATATTAGGTCCGCTCCCATTTTATTTTTCAAAAGGAGACCGAAGGAACATTGTGGCTTGAAATTTTCACAAAAATTACACCACGAACAAGGCTCGGACGCTGTTTTTCCATATAGGATCTCTATAAAAAGTAAACGTTTCTAATATTTGCCAGGATAGTGATCGAGGGTACCTATTTATCTCTATGAAAAGAGACAAGAAACTGCGAAGGTGTCAAAATGAACGATTTCACCGACTCCATGATTTATGCGTTTCACAAACTAAATTAGTTTCCCGCGATGCAAGTGGGATACGATAATGAGGGAAAAAATCGGCGTTGCGGGTGGGTGGAAGAGGGTGAATAGACAAAAAGGGTTGAAGTCACCAGACAGAATCAAGTGGAACCCGGAAATTTCCATAAAAACGGCTCGTTCGTTATCTGTGTCCAATTAATGCAGCGGAGTGGTGGCGCTAGTGTCAGCGTCAGAATACTACTCTCTCTGTCAAACAACAGGAACTACCCGAAAATACCAAATAGAAGTCAAGCACGCACTCATACGTGCTAGTACAGGGTGTTTGCGTGTTACCCGTTTAAAAGAAGGACACTGGAAGCATGTTTAATTTATGCATTACCTATACGCCTTATTTGTCATACCTATTTTCAATAGTTTTGAGATGTTGGAAATTATGACATTGACGAAAACGTGCTGATTAGGAAACAATAAATCTTTCTGTGATCGATCATAGAAAAGTTGAAAGGCATGAAAACTTTCAGTGACATTTTTTGGAAAATTTTGATTGAGCTGTTGATCATATCAACAAGAGACAGTCTTAATCAGGAAACATATAAGGATGCTCAAATTTGTACCTAGTAATACGAAGAACAGAGGAATCGTTCGATAAAATTTTCCCTTCACACGTAGTTCATTATCTCAAAACTTCATTTTTGCACTCAGTATACTGCTTCGGTAACACTGCAGTATTCAACCCCAGTTTTTAGTATTCAGTTTTACTATTAACTTCACTACTTGTACCTGCTTGCAGGAGCTATTAATATATTATTAATGGATCGTAATTTTAATAGGTCTTATAACAGTTAATATTACGATTTTTAAGTTACCCTGACTTTTTATGTAAACAGAGTTTTTGTTACAATTGATATTATTTTCATTATAGCTTTTATTTCTGTAAGTACTATCCCTTTTTCTGTTGTTTTATAAATAATTATAGTTATGTGTTTTTTAATTACTACTTTTTTCAATAAGTTTAAATTTTTTTCAAATCATATATCTTATATCATTTGCTTAATTTTATTATTTGATTATTTTTTTTATTTTGATTGTCTCTAGTTGTGAGGGTTGAAGAGCATCCTGTACAAACTAACTTATTCCGAGCTCGGCGGTATGTTGACTGTGAATTATGGTTAATGCTGGCCCCCGGGGTTGGCGAGAGGGGGAGAGGGGGGTGGACACCACTCGCCACCGATTCGCACGCGATCGTCGCAGTCGTGTGGCCCCGTCCCTGGAGGAATTGAAATAATAATCGCGTGAATTACTCTATGGTCTTTTAATTACTCTTCGCTCCGCTTGCAGCTCCAACGCACCCGTAATCGTCCAGATCTCGACCTCGCTTTTCGGACACGTGAATTGAATTACCCACGTGATTTGTCCTCCGCACATGGGTCCGCATTTCCCATTGCAAAGGGAAAGCGCCGAATGAGCATTCCACGGTTGCCGAAATTTAGAGTACCTATGTGTACGGGGGAGTATTGCCATCCCTGTGCCGCTCTCCGATTGGTCCATCAGTTTTAGGCTATCATGGAGCTCCAAAGTTGGATCAATGTTTTTGTCAATTCGTTTTCGATGACCGAGATAGCGCGATAATTGTGAGTTGCTGCTATTGAAAGAACCTGAGGAAAGTCGGTGCGCCTTCAATTTTTAGCATATTTAGCACAGACATCCTTGAAGCACGTTTAGTTGTATCCAAGCGATGGCGCTGCCAGCATTGGAGTCGGTGGAACTAGAGTACCTGTATACGGAAGAGTATTGCCATCTGTGCCGCTCTCCGATTGGTCCATCAGTTTGAGGCTATCATGGAGATCCAAAGTTGGACCATTGTAAACAAACCCGACCCAGAGGAGCACTTAATATCGGCTGCGAATTGAATGATAATCACACTCAAAGCCTAATTTTCGGAAAAAATATTCATCGAAGGTCGATCAGAACTCACATCAGAAGTTGGATATAAAAAAATTTCTATCACACCTAAAATCACGCATAGAACTTTGTGGAACTTTTCCGACATCTTGTTTGTTTACATTGGGCCAAACTAGGAGCGGAGGGGATGGGGTTTGTTTACATTGGCCAACTTTGTTGCTCCACGATAGCCGACCAATCAGAGAGCGGCACACTTTTTCTGTAGTAAAAGGATTGAGATGGACATACTCTCCCGTATAGGTACTCTGGCCGAAATTCTCTTGACGAAATGTTTTTTGTTTTTCCGAGAGTACAGTTATGAACGGTTTAATCAAAAATTTCAGACGCTTTATATCGAATGGCAATGAAAATTCACGGAAAATGTCCGTGAATCATCAAGGGAATTTGATTTTATACTATCAGAACTTTGGCGACGGCTGGTCACACATACGGCATTTTTCCTCGGCACGGCATGCGGCTGCATTCTCCGGTGTGTTAACCGAAATTATTTTCCGCCGTAGGGTTGACATACGGCATTCTCTCACGCATCTGCAATTTGCGATGTGGTTGTCGTATTTGCATAGCGTTAAGCACAAGGAACTTATTTACATTTCGATGTGAGTGATGGTCGAGTATTTATGTGAAGTTGAAGAATCATGAGGTTTAAATCGCTGCCACTTGCACTTTTATGGGGTGAGAGACGGTGCATATCTGACATCGGAGTCTATATAGTGCCTAAAAAACCAGAGTGTTATGAATTTGCTGTACCTACAATTTTCAGAAAACTTTATTCATAATTTGATCTTCTGGATATATCAAAATTTCCACACAAAAAAGTGCTCGTAACTCTAATGAAAAATAAATATTTTTTGGGGGAAATCTGACACATTCAAATGTTCATTGTTCATACTACTTTTTTTCACACGAGTTATATGACATCACGTAGGTTTCTTTTTTTCCTTTCAAATTTCTCAATGAAGATATGTATGACTGATTTGCTCAAAGCTATTTCCATTTGCTCTTAGGGCTCTGTCAACAAGGATAATACAGGGACAAGGGCCGAATAAGATCAGAGAGCAATCCTGCCGTGCTAAGGAAGAACGCTGTATGAACATCCGAGAGTTGCCAAATTTCTTTCAATAAAATGTTTATTTTTGAGGAGATTCGTGAATATTTTTCCTCGAAATTTTCAAGAATCTTAGGTGAAATTACGAACGAAATTAACTGAAAAATTGGAATAAAAATCTTCATAGGTTTACCAGGAAATGCTTGTTATGTTAAAGGAAATGTGGCAACGCCTGAAGGTTCATACGGCGTTTTTCCTCAAGAATTGCAACCCCAAAGAGTTAGGCTAGAGGCCGGGGGCGTGAGGGTACAGCCGCGCGGCACGCGTCTACTGTTTCGTGATCACCTGTGATTGGGGAGGGGGGGGGAGGGCACGCTCCACATGCCCGAACACCCAACCCCCTCACCATGCGTCAGTGATCGCAAGTTCCTGATCAGAGACACTGATTATATCGACGCCGTTCTTTTTTAAATCAACTTGAGTCATTTAAATGAGTTTTCATGAACATAACTGATTGTGAGAGCAGATTTGAGTAATTAGAGATTGACTAGCCTCGTTGAGAAAAAGGCCACAAAAGGATTGGAAATGTTTGTGCTGCTTCTTATAAATTATTTTATAAAGGGGCTTATATCAGTTACACGGTGCAAAAAAGATACCTAAATCCGCTTCAACCGTTTCTACGATAAGATAAGAAGGAAAACCTGCATTGACTCCAATGTAAATCGAAAATTTTAGAGCTCTGTGACCTTGTGCCCGGGTAGGGCGCTGTGGATAGGGCGACCAAAATCGTTACACACATTGAACTGTAATTAGAGAGCTCTGACAACACTAATAACTCAATTTTCCCACGATGTGAATTAGGCGCCCCTCCGCTCTTGAATATTGGCAGTGTGGGTTAGAAATGTTTATGCATACGCCCAACTTAGGTCCAAATCGCGCAGTTCATTCAAGGAAAAAATTAAAGTTCTGATTCAACAATTAAAAAGCTAAAAAAAGTGACTGCGATATTTCAACGTAGGTTTCACAACACAAAAATGATACTTTAACCACTATTGTAAGCTAATTTAGCCACGGGAGTGGTTAAACTATAAGAGTGGTTATAACATGTTTGTGTTGTGGAATCTACGTTGAAATATTGCAGTCACATTTTTTTAGCAAATGAATTGTTCAATCAGCAATTCAATTTTTTCCGTGTTGCTACTGAAGAAATTATATTCTTCGCTAGGAAACGCACAAATGTTTGGTAAACTTTTATTGCCATTCGCCGATGTCAATAAGAAATAGATACATCTAACATTGTTACTCTCTATATGATCAGTATGATACATATTAAGTTTGCATGATACATTGGCATTATTTAACGAAAATGGTCTTACCTGAACTCGCTAATCTGCTACTAGTTGGTCCAAACATCTGATAGGGATCTGAAAAATCATGAAAAAAACCATCTAAGAGCCCATTTAATGATATCGCTAGGAACAACAGGATAATAAAATATTCCCACTTAAGAAGCGAGATTCAATGACACGTTTTTTGCGGAAAAATTAGATTTTTCAGCTGCAAACCTTACGTACAACTTCGAAAAATATTTCACGAGGCAAATTCTGAACTAGAGACAGTCACATATTTTCTCTTCAACATCTTACGGAGAAAACGATTCTCACAACGGGAAGTTCGAAAAACAACTCCTGAATGAAATATGAGGAAGTATTTTGAACACATTATGATCAAACGGATTTTAGATTATGTACTTACAAATGACGTTATTTGTAATTTTGCCATTCATCAAATGTCAATTATCATTAACGCTTATGTCGACGGCGAAAATGCAGAAACGCGCATCTCGGTTTACACGGGTGCATAATTCATTTTCTACATGAAAAATTACTCAATATCATTTCCGGAAAATCACGGTGACTTTCTATCTATGTGAAGAATAAGTACACTTTGAAAAATTCAAGCCATTATCGTAGTTTGGTCTCCTTTTAAAAAATAAAATATGGGCGGAAACGTAGAAAGACCGCAACTGATCTAGCAGTTACACCTTCGATATCTACAATGCAGACCTCCATTGGTGCGATTACTTTTTCTCGAAAAATTCAAAGAGAAAATATTTTCAGATCGTATTTTGCAATAAGGAAGTAAAATTTCTGGCTCATTCATAAAAACGTTTATCTGCACTCGAAGACTATAATGCGACACGTAAGTTTTTCCGACAGTGAGGCAAGGAATAATAGTTCCATATTGCAAAATGTAGTCCAATATTCATACCTTGACTCTAGTCAACGCATCTAGGTTTATTGCCTAAATCCTCAACTCATTTACGCTCCCTTCGTTCTCTAAATCTTAATTATTTGAGAAATAAATCTCACTCCCCACTTTCTTAGTTAAACCCATGGCGTCCTCATACTTCCATGCAGCACCCAGTACTGTCATATATGAGTGGAGCTAAGGGAACCGCATCCAGACAATTTAAGTGTCATAAGCAGAACAAATGACCATCGTATGCAGCACAAATGATGCGTGTACCGTGTCCTCTAAACGTACTCAACTTTGGCTTTTTGAACTGTTTTAACCCGCGCGATCTTAGGCCCATGAGCAATTTTGAGGGCAACATTGGTTGCGTGTCAGCAGTCCCTTTCCTAACCACTGCCTCTAACGACTCCTATCCTATGTCCATCTATTTCTATCCCTTACTTCAGTCAGACGTTGCCAAATCGAGATTGAAAATCGTGATCGCGATTTAAAGCCAAAAACTTCAGGATTTTTGGCGGTTGTAATGTAGTTACACACATATCGCAATATGATGCTTCTTGTGTTTATCTGTGTGTAGAGGTCTTTCAACGTAGAGCGTTTTTCTCTTAAGCCAGCCAAGAGAAAATTACGGGTCCTTTTTTTATTTTTTTTAGCTTTACCAAATGATACTCTTACTTCCGTCCCAATATTTTTGGAATGCCGGCGATTGCCCTTGTCACACAATTAAAGTATAGAGCCCTGAAAAAGGTTCATCGGTGGCATTGTTGACTGTTGGCCGTTAGCTCGACAATCTTTGAAAGTGACCTATGTGTTGAGGCCGGGATACTAGCTCAAATTTCCGTCAATTTCCGATCAAAATTATTACAAAAATGGCGGCCGAGAGTCATCTAAATTGTTATCTAAAATTAATTAAAACAGCGTGATGATTGAAATACGCATGAAATTAGCACGGTTGTATAGAGATCAGATGACGGATGAGACCCAAAGTTCCATCATCTGCCATCAAATTTTTGCAGGTCGTAAAAAATTGATGGTAGATGGTGCGCACCAGTCACTATTTGATCGGAAATTGATGAATATTTGAGCGTGTATCTAGGACTTTTGTGGCACACCACAGATCAGATCTAGTGGCGTGGCGTACTTTGCGATCTAACGATATTTCCCCATTTAAAGCTGAGGTAAATAATCTATTACTAAAGGTGTTCGCTGCGAACATCCTGTCTATCGATACTTTTCCATAGGTTTAAATGGTCGATCAATCGATATATCGCAAAGCACGCCAAGCTACTGATCAGATCTTAAAATTTTCGAGGAATTTCGTGTAGAACTGGCTAGAAAATTAAAGAATTAGCGCCACTTTGAGAGTTCTCCTATAATCATGTGATATGGGCTTTTCGTTTTGAGAATTCTTGTAGATTTCATGCATGCCGATTTGAATGTTTATATCTATTTTGACAAGAGGGGCGGAGCCTAGATCCTTCATTTTCCATTGCCATACTCATCGCCATTTGATCGCGGCAACAGTGCTTGACCAAGACTCACTTTTTATTGCGTTGCTTATTGACCGCTGACGGGGTCGAGTAGGGGGGAGGAGCAGGGGGCCGAATATCGACCTGCGTGGAATGCAGATAACACGAGAAAGGAAGGACGGCAGGAAGGCAGGAAGGAAGGAAGGAAGGAAGGAAGGAAGGAAGTGAGGAAGGAAGGAGGGCGGAGGGGAACGAAACTGAGCGTGGAGTGGCCGGGCAAGAGGGCGGCCATCGGCTACCGGTCACGCCAGTTTCGTGCTCGCAACTTGTAATCTCGGTGTCGGGATAAAGAGAGGTGATGGATAGGGGTAGGCGGTAGGGGGCAACGTGGGGGATGAGGGGAGCTCCTGCCGCGCCACTGGACACTGGGCACCTGGCGCGGCACGTGAGTATGGCGGGTGGCCGGCCGCTAGCTTTAGGCGCTGCGTTAAGCACTACAGCACTACTCTGCCGTGCTAAGGAAAAACGCCGTATGAACATTCAAGAGTTGCCAAACTTCCTTCGATAAAATGTTTAATTTTGAGGAAAATAATGAACATTTTTCCTTGAAAATTTCAAAATCTTTAGGCAAAATTGTGAACAAAATTATCCAAAAAAATTGGGAAGAAAATATTCATAAGTTTACCAAAAAATTCGCGTTTTATGATAGGAAATTTAGCAACGCCTGAAGGTTTATACGGCGTTCTTCCTCAGCACGACAGTACAGCACTACACTGCCGTGCTAAGGAAAAACGCCGTATGGACCTTCAGGCGTCGCCAAATTTCCTTTGATAAAACACGAATTTCCGGGAAAACTTGTGGAAATTTTCCGTCCAATGTTCCGAGTAATTTTGTGCGCAATTTAACTTGAAATTCCGGAAAATTTAAAGGGAAAATATTTATGACGTTCCGCAAAAATAAACATTCCATCGAAGGAAATTCGGCAACTCTCGAATGTTCATACGGCGTTCCTTCTTAGCACGGCAGTATATTGGATTCGCTCTGGAATAAAGAGCAATTGTATCTATTTACGCAAGAAAGTTTATCTGATATATCCTTTCTAAACCCATAGATTCTTTTTGCAAAAGTCCAATATATGCATTTTGAGATACACGATAAATGGCAACTTAATACGGGGAAAAAGCTTCGAGAAAAAACCGGTACGTTTTGAGGTGCCACAACTTCTGATCGGCTTATGAAGAAAATGAAAGGACAAATTATTTAATATTTTTTTTTAATTTTTCCATGCGCGCGGGGGACCTATACCGTATTATTGAGTCAAATAACCTATTTTTGAATATAAATATGCGACCCACCCCCCGTCTCAGATCTCCTACTCAGAATTGTAACTATGTAGGCTGCGGGGGAAAAGATCTGCTTCAGAATCAACTTTGAATACGGCCCTTGCGATATCAGGCAAGAACATATGAATACTGGTGCGCCTTATTCAATCTGTTGCCTATGCAACACGGACGATCGTCGAGTTCGAATAGTTGCATGCAAGCGCCTTCATCCTCTCCGCACGCGTGCTGTATCGCATTGGTCGAGTCAGATAACCCGAATTACATTTCATGAACAAGGTTCTTCAGACCATTTTCCAATATAGAAAGTAAAACTTAAAAGGAAAGAATCAGCAATCGAAGAAAAAAGTACAATCATATTGCATTGATTGTTGATTGTTCGTAAAGATCACTGGATTTTTCATAACCGTATTTTAATTTTTGGCAATGGCCAATCTTTGTTACTCCTTGCAGTGATATATTTGCAAAATTAAACCGTTGAATTTTCCTCGAGTATCGTCAAAATTGTCTTTCTCAGATGCTGTGTGACTGTATTAGTATTGTATTCATCTCTGTATCGTTTAAACCTCCCTGTATCATCATGTAAACTCTTGGGATCTCCCAAAGAAGGAAGCTGTTGCTTTTAAACTTTGACGGTCCTGAAGTTGTTTTTTCTGTGGACGGTAAAAAATTTCGGTCCTATAGACTGATTATTGAAAGTGATAGACAAAGAAATAAACAGTTATGATAAAAGGAAAAGGGAGTTATCCAATTGGTTGAAATGGGTGGTTGTTTTAGACTAATTAGGAAAATGATTGACAAACTTCAGGATCTCTCGTCGGTTACCGTTTATAGTACGTCTATTGCGTACCTCCTAAGTCCATTGCAACCACTCGCTTCCACAAATAGGATAGCTCCTTATCATCCTTATCTTTTTTTTCGATAACTTTGTCCATCAACTTCAATAATCAATCCGCTGGTAGATGACAGCTTTACTACAAGGAGGCAAGAAAAAACGCTATGCGAGCACCCTCTTCTCTACGCAAAAGAAGGAGTATGTAACTCGCGAAGGGGATGATTAGGTATTAGATCCCCGGAGGCACGAGATCCGAAGGGACTCCAACAGGTGGAATTAGAATCTGGGAGCAGAATATTGGGATCGAGTGACAAAAGGCCTTAACCCCGGCCCCGGGGCAGGCCCTGGCGGGAGGGGGTGGCGACCCGCTATTAACGCATCATTAAGGTCGGTAATTGCTCGCGCATCCCTCCCCTACTCCTCCCTCCGCCCCGCCCTCAGCCAAGCATCGATCGTCCCTCAGGGATTCCACCGATTCGTCCTGTTTTGTCACCCGCGTCACAGCTACGGCCCAATACCATCTA